CGGGGGGCGGGGGGAAGAGGTGGGGGGGAGGGGAAGCGTGTCACTTTTCCCAGTGTCCCTCCTCTTTCACCCTGTTTACCCCCAGGTCACTGCCCTCAGCCTGTTACAGAGGGTGGCAGCTTCACGCTGTCCTTGCTGGGGAGGGGAAGGGCACCTCAGCCTGCTGTGACCCCACTGCTCCCCCCGGCGTTCACGGGACAGCACAGGAGCCTTTTAGCTGTAACCCACATGTTGCTCCGTTTCCCTGTCCAACCTCCAAATTCCTAGATTGCTGGTACAGGACATTTCACCCCCCGCCACAACCCTTGTCCCCAGAGCCTTGCTTACACATGCACACGCCTCCCTCACCCGCATTCCCCACTAACCCCCCTGCGGCACCCGCGAAGGACACACGGCTCTGGAAGGGACCTGCTGGGCTGCAGCCAAGGCTCAGGGCTTTCCTCCTCTGAGCCCAGGGGTGGGCACAGGGCACATAACAAAGGGGTGCTGGGACAGCTCAGCACCCCTGGGCAGCTCTTTGCAGCTGGTCCCGAAGGGGGTTGTCCTTGCACAGCACCGATTGTCTTGTGAGACTCACTTATTTAAAACACACAAATTTAAGGAGTGCAAATTTACATGCACATGCATCTGTGTGTGCAAATGCTCCATGCAGGGTGGGGGGATGGCTCCTTCCTGCAGCCAGCAAGCCCCCCCTGACCCCGTGCATCCTCCCACAGCCTGCCCAGCCATGGCAGCCTTGCTGAGCCGCCCCTGCTTCATCTCCCTGCACATGCCCTACAGGCAGGGCTGGGCCCAGGACCTGGCCAACACCTTTCGCTTCCAGCCAGTGGCCGTGCGGGAGACGCCCCGGGTCCGGCAGCTGGCCTTGCGAAGGGGATCCGCCGTCTTCCTCGTCAACCAGCGCCTGGCTCCGGGGCCTGCCAGCACTTCCTCCCATGATTTCCTCTACGACGTGGACCCCCGGCCTGCCTTGGGCACAGCCTCCAATGTCTGCTTCGAGGTGGATGACGTGCCGGGGCTCTGCAAGCGACTGCAGAGCCAGGGATGCTCCCTGCCAGTGCCCCCCACCGAGGTGAGGGACGATGACGGCTCTGTCACCTATGGGGTAGCAAGCTCCATCGTCGGCAACGTCAGCCATACCCTCCTGGACCGATCCCGCTACTGGGGACCCTTCCTACCTGGCTTCCAGCCCATTCAAGGAGCCCCCTCAGCCACAGGGGACGACATCAAGATCACCCATTTTGACCACATCACATACGTCTGCCCACGGGGCAGTGCCCGGGCGGCTCTGGACTGGTACCAGGGCTGCTTCGGCTTCCAACGCTTCTTGTTGAACCCACAGGAGAGGCCAGCTGAGGGGTACGTGCTTGGGCAGGGTGTGGGCATGCTCCTCCTTGCGCTGCAGAGCGCCCAGGGCGCTCTGGCACACGGCTGCAAGTTTGTCTTCGCTGAGTCCCTTTCGGAGGATGGTGCCAACCAAGTCGACACCTTCCTAGAACAGCACGGTGGGGCTGGGATCCAGCACGTCGGCCTCTGCACCACTGATATTGTCACCACGACCAGGGCTTTGCAGCAGCAGGGTGCACGGTTCTTCAAACCCCCTGCCACCTATTACAGCCAGGGCGGCAAAGCAGAGGAGATCCGGGGGGCCGGGCAGGACCCCCGCATGCTCGCAGAGCTCGGCATCCTGCTGGACACCACAGCACCTGGGGACAAGGGCTGGCCAGACACTGAAGCCACAGAGAGCCCTTCCCAGGAATATTTGATGCAGATCTTCACCCATCCCATCTTCTCTGAGGAGACCTTCTTCCTGGAGCTCATTGACCGGCGGGGAGCACCGGGCTTTGGGGAAGGCAATATACGGGCACTGTGGAAAGCTGTGCAGGTCTATATGGACCAGCAGCAGCAGTGTTAACACTGCAATCCTCCTCCCTCAGCTCCCCGTCCTCTCCAGTCCAACCCTGGGGCAAGATGCTGCTGTAGAGATATCAGCAGGTGTCAGTGGCATGGCCCGGGTGGGCAGGGACCAAAGGAGTGCTCCAGGTCAGCCCAGAGCCAACTCAGTATGGGAACAAGCTGCTCAGGGCCAAGTCCAGTGGGGCTCTGAGTATCCCCCAGGATGGAGGGTGCTTTCTCCCCCACCCCGGGTTCCCAGCGATTTATTGACCTCACGTGAAAAACTTTCTGCCTTAATTTAACCTTAATTTAACTAGACTTGTGCCTGCAGCATGGCCAAGAACACTGCTGGCACAGCAACACTCCTGGACGTACGGGGAAAAGGGGCTGTCAGAGGGACTGAATAGCCCAGGGGCCACGGACACAGCCCCTCATCAATGGTTACCACCCAGAGCATGGCCAGCCCCTGTGCAGGGCAAGTGGTGGCCTCTTGCTCCTCTCAATTAAAGAATTAACTTGCAAGCATTGCTTTGGTTATTTTCTCCTCCCACATAAGATATGCTAAGTGCCAGGCAAGGATGAAATGGCTCTTTTCACCCTTTGAAGCGAGCTGCCCCCAGTCCTTCAAGTACCTAAATTGAGGCCACTTGCCCCTTGTGCACCCCCCCAGGGCTGGCCCCTGTTCCTGTCAGCTCCCAGGCTTGTGCCTTTGCAAGGGGACCACTGTGCATCACAGTCAGGGAAAGCCACAGCATGAACACAGGGAGGAACAGCCTGACAGAACGGGTAGAGAAGGGGGATAAAACCCTAGAAAAAGCTCAGGGAATGGTTGATGGACCCCACAGGGGAGCAGGCCTCAGGTAGGAGCTGTGCAGCCCCCAAGGGCTGATGCCTACCCTTGCAGGAGTGGTGGTGCTCTGGGTGCCTTATTTGGGGTCACCAGCTTTAATGTTCAGCCAGGGGGCTCATGGGTACATTAATGAAGAAGCCTGGCTGTAGGGATCCTGCTGGCCATCCTCATCCGACCACAGGCTGCCCAACACCTCCACCTTAGCATAGTGCAACAGAGGCAGAAAGTCACTTAAAAAACCCCCCACTTTAGGTTTATTATTAGAAAGTCTGTGGCTCACATTCAATAAAAACAAGTGTATAGAAAGGGCTATTGGAGGCCAGGAAGGGCACAGCAGCATCCACAGTCACTGGCTGGCAGATGAGGTGCAGGCAGGCAGCCGGGGCCAGGGCGATGTGGCCGCAGCCTTCCTGCTGCTGGAGAGAAACTCCTGCTGCCATGAGTCCGTGGTGCCGGAGCGGTGGCTGTACGGGGATGAATAACCCAAGAGGGTGCCAGCCAAGGCAGGGAATGCGAGCCCAGCTCCAGGTCACATCCAGGACCATAGTGGCCACGCCAAGGCACAACTCCCAAGGGGGAGCCAGGGAAGCCAGTGGACTTGGCAAGGAGTGGGGAGAGCATTACAGGGCTGTGTACTGGGCTCGCAGCAGTACGGGGGTCACCATCCCCAGGCCACAGGCAGGACTCACTGCAGCACAGATGTCCAGTGGTCCCATACGTGGAAGGTGCCGTCACAGAGCAGTCGGTGCCCGGAGGAAGGCGCGGAGGGAGAGCTGTGTCCCAGGGCTGGTGCTGCCCACTCCCTGCGATTTTGCCCCACGCTTCCGCTTGGACCCCTGCAAGAGACCCACAGCAGGGCTAAACCAAACCCCAAGGGCCACCCCCCAGCCTCTGAGGATCCTCCCAGTACTGGGAACATCTGGGGATAATGCCAGCCAGGAAAGTCCCCCATATGTAGCCCTGTCCCCCTGCTCCTTGGCCTGACCCCAAACCCCAGGGAGGCTCCAGCACCACACTCCAAAGTCTGGCCCACAGCAATAGGGAGCAGCTACTGGGGCCCCGTACACAACCCAGCGATGCTCACCGTGACAGAGCTGCTCTCCTTCCCCACGCACCCCCCAGCAATGCTCACCGTGACAGAGCTGCTCTCCTTCCCGCGCTGCTTCTCACGTGCTTTCAGCACCTGAAGGAAGCACAAGAAGCCAGAGCTGAACAGCAGCTGAGTCCTGGAGCTGGGACAGCCCACAGATGTTGGGGGGGATGCCAGAGGCTTTCCCAAGAACCCAGAGGAAAGGAAGAAAAGGCCCAGGTGTCCCCCAGTACCTTCTTCATGGCCGTGGACACAGCTGAGGCATGGAACTCCTCCTCTGTCACCCAGCGGGATGGGGATGAGGCAGGATCCAGGGTCACATCCCCGTCCAAGGGCAGGGAGTAGACTACATATGTCTGGTGGATGTGAGAGAAGATGTGGACGACCTGTGAGGGGATGAGAAGATGTATGCAAAGGGCAGCTGGCAGGCAGCAAGGGATGCACCACTCCACTGCTCCACAAGTGCACTGAGTTTGCCAGGGCTCTGAGGAGTGGGGCAGGGCTTGGGAAGGGTAACAGCAGGGACAGGGGACCCTCCTGCCCCCATGCTACATGCCCTGTGGCTGAGCACAGGGGGGTCACTGCATCCCTCCGGCTCACCTCCCCAATGAGCTGCAGGTCTCCGGCTGCCACAGGCCATCCCATCCAGGCCTGGAGGTGATCTGCCAGTGCCTCCTGCTGCTTCTCCTCCTGCAGACCCTGAGCCAGCAGGAGACTTGGGAACTCCCAGAGTCCAGCCAGGAGACCTGGGGAGGAGTCATGATGGGGATGTGAGCCAGCAAGGGGCACATCTGGGGACACTGAGCCTCATCACAGCCCGGAGGGGCTCCTTTCCCCACCATGGCAGCAAGCGCTTCACTGATGCCTCCTTCTCCCAGGCTGCTCTGCCTCTTGCAGAGGAAGGGGCTGCATGATGCCTTAACCCCACTCCCACCCAGCTCCACTACCTGAATTGGGTCTCTGCACAATGAGGTACTCTGGGGCCCCGTGGCAGCCCCTCCGCTCCAGCACACATGTGGCCGTTTTCACCACCCGTGGCTGCTTCTTTGCTGCTTTCCGGGGGAAGTTGGTCACCCCCAGTCTGCTGTCCCATGGCTCTGTGGCTGGGGGGCACAGGGGACAGCCCCCAACACCTGAAAACACCAACATAACAGTTGTTGCAGGGCCCAGACCCACAGCTACAACAGGGATCTCCCCACGTGCTTACCACAGTCCTCAACATCAGGCACTGGGGTGGGTTTTCCAAACAGTTTCTGAGAGGCAAAGGCCAGCTCCTTCTCCACCTGCAAAGGGGCACAGGAACGAGGACAGGCTCATGCAACTTGTCCTCACACACAGCAACCCCTTGGGGCCAGATTTTGAGGTCATACTTACCCTGCGCCACGCTCGGCAGTGCTGCTTCACGGGGCATTCCCCGCACAGCGGGGCCTTGGGCACACACACAGTTGCCCCCAGCTCCATCAGGGCTTGGTTAAAATCCCCCGGACGGCTCCTGTCTACCAGGGCATTGGCCATGTCCCTGGGAGGAACAGCAGTGAGCGGCGCGGGGCTCTGCGGGCAGAGGGCCCCAGGATCTTTGCCTGCCTCTGAGGGGGGGTGCTCCTAGGTAGGCAGAGGCAACACGGCTCCTTTCTCCCCCACTCCCAGCAGCATCAGCTTCCCAAGAGCTCCCACACCCCACGCCTCTCTCTCTTTGCAGACTCAGCTTCCCACGGCTCCCGAGCAATCGTGCCCTTGGCCACCAATAAGCACAGCCACAGTTGCCACAGCTCAGAGCAGGAACAGACTGTTCCCCTTACCAGAGCCGATCGACAACGAGGGGGCTGCTGGAGTCAGCACCAATGCACCGCAGCCGGCACAGGACCCGGATCACATTCCCATCCACAACACCAGTAGCCTAGGACCAGGAGCTGGGGTTACTGCAGCAGGAGGTGCCCATGCTCCCGGCAAGGCAGGGAGCTGGGGTGCTCCCAGGACAGAGCAGGGACACACACAAGGCTGACTCACAGGCCAAGCTGGGCAGTGGGTGAGATGCACCAAAAAACAGGGGAAAGCCAGAGCCAAGCACAGCCCTAGGCAGCCCCTGGTTTGTGAGATCCAACAGCAGGACCCCATGGGGATCGGGGAGATGTGTCCACTGATGCCCAGCTCTCACCTGCCCGTACGAGATGGAGGCGATGGCTCCCGCTGTGTATCGGCCCACTCCCGGCAGCAGCTTCTGCAGGTCCTCCGCTGTTCTGGGCATCCGGCCAGCCAGCTCAGACACCACCTGGCAGAGGGGGGACTGAGGTCAGGGGAGCAGCTGGGGTGTGTGTGTGTACAAACCATTTTACTCATGGTAAGATAGGATCCCAGCCTCTGTAGTCTTGTGCCAGTGGCCCGCAACCCCAGCAAGGCAGGGCAGATGTGAGCCAGCACCAACCCACAGGTCACAGAGGCCTCTGGAAACAACCCCCACACCCCAGCACCAGGGCACCTTCCTTGCTGCCTCCTGCAGACGCTTCCCTCTTGAGTAGTAGCCAAGTCCAGCCCACAGTTCGTTCACCTCCTGCTCCAAGAGATGAAGCAGGGACTTAGATGAAGAGCCACAAGGGCAGGGAGAGCACCTGGTCCCCAGCATTGCTCACCTCCAACGACGCTTGCGCCAAAGCCTGCAGCGTCGGCCACTTCTGTGGTACAGAGGGAAGAGAACAAGTCAGAGACAAGCAGAGCCGTGCTCTGCAGCTGGGGATCTGCCACAGGCAGCAGACAAGGTCTCCAAAAGGGGTAGCCTGTGAGCACAGGACTCTGTAAGGAGTGGTCACCTGCATCCAGCGGTTGTAGTAGTCGATGACTGTAACCACTTGCGTTTGCTGGAGCATGATCTCAGACACCCACACTGCCGGGAGCAGGGCAGGGGTCAGAGCAGAGGCACCGACACCACCCACTCCTTGTGCCGTGGCCATGTTAGCACTGGCTACAAACACTGCACTAGCACCCAACCCATGGGACCCCTTCCTACCCCTCACCTGCCCCACAGGGGATTCCTCAGGCCCAAAGTGGGCTCTCCGACCCACCCAACACCATGCAAGGGCGTGGGTCAGCAACTGTCATGGCCACTCTGGACAGGTTGTTCCAAGGACAGAAATTGAAGCTGTGTTTTCTCACAAGGCCATGCTGCACATCCACCTCAGGGGCAACACACAACAGGGCACCCCAGGGCACAGTCCCTGCTCCTCACCTGCGTATGCCCGTCTGTCAGCATCCAGCTCAGTTGCCGCCTAAAAGGGAAAGACGAAGAAGTGTGAGAAACGACGTGACGCAGGAAATTGCTTATGGTGTGTTTTGAACAACGCATGGGAACCTGCAACAAAAAAAATTTCCCCTAAGTGCTCAGAAGTCATGAGTTTGGGTTAATCAAGTGACAGCCAAAGCACCTTCTCCCTGATGAAACAGCCTACAGCAAGAGTTTACCTTAGAGGTCCAAAATCCCACCAGAGGAGCTGTCCCAGAGCTGAGCCCCTCTCCACAGGAAGCAATTGCAGGCAGATGTAACTTCTACAGAAGGGCCGTGCAGTTCCCAGCACCGTCCAGACAGACATTGCTGTAAAGCTGACACGCACCCCCAGCACCCCAATCACCATTGAGAGGTAACACAGAAGCAGGAACAGAACAGGTTTAACAAACAACTAGACTAAGTTTACCAGAGAAAAGTGCTCCTGGTTGAAGACTGTTTAATAATCATGGCTTCACCCTGTGCCCTGCTTCACTCTTCCGAGGTAGACGTGGCTATAAACTACCCAGCACTGAACTGCCAGGACTGGCTGGGAATGCACTCCTACTTCCAACACCATCTTCCACTTCCACGCAACCAGTGATGCGTCGTATAGGGAAAGACACCGTGGTCGCCTCAGTCCCTTAGGGCAGAGGGTCTGCTTCCCCACTACAGCACCCCTGCCCCCCCGATGTCTCCCCTTACCAGTGTCCTCCAGGGAAGGTCCCGCTTGCATCTGTCGTACCAAGCGAGCAGGTTCCCGCGCAGGGCCTCGATCTCAGCCGGGTCGCTGAAGAGATGCTGGGCGGGCGGCGGGGCGGGCGGTGGAGCGGCGGCCCCTGCCAGGAGAGCGGCGCGGGGTCAGGG